TTTATTAATCATAGAATCATAGAATAATAGGACTGGAAGGGACCTCGAGAGGTCATCGAGTCCAGCCCCCCGCCCTCAAGGCAGGATCAAGCTCTGTCTACACCATCCCTGACAGATGTCTATCTAACCTGTTCTTAAATATCTCCAGAGAGGGAGATTCCACCACCTCCCTTGGCAATTTATTCCAATATTTGACCACCCTGACAGTTAGGAATTTTTTCCTAATGTCCAATCTAAACCTCCCCTGCTGCACTTTAAGCCCATTACTCCTTGTCCTGTCCTCAGAAACCAAGAGGAACAAATTTTCTCCTTCCTCCTTGTGACACCCTTTTAGATATTTGAAAACCGCTATCATGTCCCCCCTTAATCTTCTTTTTTCCAAACTAAACAAGCCCAGTTCATGAAGCCTGGCTTCATAGGTCATGTTCTCTAGACCTTTAATCATTCTTGTTGCTCTTCTCTGTACCCTTTCCAATTTCTCCACATCTTTCTTGAAATGTGGCGTCCAGAACTGGACACAGTACTCCAGCTGAGGCCTAACTAGTGCAGAGTAGAGCGGCAGAATGACTTCACGAGTTTTGCTTACAACACACCTGTTGATACAACCTAGAATCATATTTGCTTTTTTTGCAACAGCATCACACTGTTGACTCATATTCACCTTGTGGTCCACTATGACCCCTAGATCCCTTTCCGCTATGCTCCTTCTTAGATAGTCGCTTCCCATCTTGTATGTATGGAACTGATTGTTCCTTCCTAAGTGGAGCACTTTGCATTTCTCTTTATTAAACCTCATCCTGTTTACCTCTGACCATTTCTCTAACTTGCTAAGGTCGTTTTGAATTATGTCCCTATCCTCCAAAGAAGTTGCAATCCCACCCAGTTTGGTATCATCTGCAAACTTAATAAGCGTACTCTCTATCCCAATATCTACATCATTGATGAAGATATTGAACAGTACGGGTCCCAAAACAGACCCTTGAGGAACTCCACTTGTTATCCCTTTCCAGCAGGATTTAGAACCGTTAACAACCACTCTCTGACTACGGTTATCCAGCCAATTATGCACCCACCTTATCGTGGCCCTATCTAAGTTATCGAGGCATTAACTACTGCTACCCGACTACTTGTTGTTTTTTTAAGTTTATAATGATCTCTATGTTAGGTCCAACCAAATCATTGCTTGGAAGACTAATGTGCCTTAGCTGCATAATTTTTCTGCTTTTTCTTGGGAGCTGTGAGACCATGCATTACTTAGAAAGTTTATGTGTAGACACACAGTGTTCTTCCACAGATATTCAGTTTCTCCACAATTCTTAAATCATATATGATAAATGTTACTACTGCATTTAGGAGTGACAATATGGGTTACAAAAAACTTTTTGTAGACTCTTTCTCTCAGAAACTATTTTCATTTAAAATAGATGCTCTCGTTTTTTTCTCCTCAAGTGTTGCCATTTCCCAATGTCAATATACACACGTGGTCTAGACAAAATTCAGACTCTGAACTAGATCATGCAGAAATCAGGATTCAGTGTTTGGTGTGGCCTACTGTAAACATGTGTATAACTGCAACATAGCAGTGTAGGCTCTGATCCACATAGCTATTTGTACCACACTCACCTAATAACATCTATAGGCTGGTCCATGAGGCTCAGCGCGGCAGACCAAGGCTTTGGATATTATTGGGCTCTGGTGTTTGGTTTGGGCATATTATGGAAACAAGACCAAGATTTTGATCTGAGGACTGCGGCTCTGGCTCTGCCTGCCCGCTGCGGTAGGAAAGGGAGACCGGCTCAGCACCTCAGGCCTGGGTGTGTGTTCGGAGCCGGTGTATAGGCAAAAAGTGCAACTCTCCGTTTTTGTGACGGTCACAGTTTCTGTCACGCATTACCTGACATTCGGTACAACTGCGCAGGACTTGCTACCTTTGCTGGCTGGTTGCAAAGTGTTTCGGTCGCTGCACCGGCCCAGGGATGAGGCAGTGGAAGCTCGTCGGCCTGTCTCTCGCCTCCTTCCCCCGGGCGGGGCGAGC